AACTGGAAGGACAATAACCAGCTCTGTAGCGCAACATTTAGCTGACACTGCACACTAGGTGATGGCAAGTCAAAGCTACCGAGTTGTGTACGAGGCACCGGCTAATCAGCCCAAATCAGTACAGCAATACACAGTTACAGTGGCTGAAGCTATCGCCATCGCAACCCGATCCTTCAGCGGCAAAAACGCTGTGTTCGGGTGTTGTACTTGCCATGGTCCAACTCACCTCCCCTCACACATGCACCTTGTGCTGAACACACGGCTACAGCACCACCCGCGCTGACAAGCCTAAGTCATCCTATTTATAACATGAACTAGCTGTCATTTAATAGGTGACCAATGTCGTCTCACTCGATTTCCTGCCCATTTCCACTATACTCATTCGAATACCTTAAATACTGCTCGCCCAACCTCTGCAATTGTATGACTTGAAAAGACCTTGCGGTAAACATGTTAATCAACCAATCTGTGTTATTATAATGGTCCACGCATTTTTCCGAAATTATTTCCATTTCATTCTCCCAAAATAAGCAGCAGTATATGAAGTTAAGGTTTTTATTGACGCAGAAGTTAATATGCATCTTTGTCTACTTTGTCTCAAATCAAGGAATAATTCATCCGGAGGAAAGCTGCTTAACAAGTTGTTTTTATTAATTTGTTCAATTCAAATGCGCAGGAGTTTTGTTTATCTTTGTCAAAATATTTTCACTTAGTCCAATACCAGTGTGTCCTGGTGGGCATTTCGAAAATTCTAACCTAACATCCTACCGTTTTATTTCAATGCCAAAGACTCCACTCCAAACGTCGTCTGTGAACACATGCCTTATAGCTATTGGAAATAAATGATGCTTATAGGCTTAATCACAGCACCAAATATTGTTCGCCTAGCAAATTTATCCGCAACCCCTCGAGCCAAGTAGTAGTGAGGTCATACAAGATACAGCACCGAGGGTCACTTTCGCCTGCTAGCTGTTGATGTTAACCTAGGTCTAAGCATGCATCATCATTCTTTTGAATCCAACGTCTTACGTCAGGAGTAATGTCGCCACTGTTTCTCACTGCATTCGTACAAACACTACAAATGTACACGGTGACTTTACCATGGAGCTTCCAATCTAAAGAGCTAAGCGCAGTCTGATGTATAAAACCAGCGCTGTTGATGTGTCACAATGTTTTGTCTGTTTTGCATATAAGAGTCCGCAGGCCAGTAAATCCGTTTGATTAAAAGGTATTGCGGAGTTATGTGTCCCAGAGAAAATATTCGCGCCAGGCTCTGTAGTTCACACTCGTTGTGTACCATGTCCAGTCCCCTGCTAATTTTCCTCATTGCGATTTATATTTCGGAGCAGTATTCGCTCACTATGCAGCAGGTAATTGTGCCGTTCCTCTCACGGCTGCTGCGATTGTTTAAACGCGATATTTCACTTGACTTCTTTTCTCCCACCTTACTTCACAGTCTACAAGTGATTGTCATCTGCGGTGAGTTTTTGTCCCAAAGAGATAAAATTTTGGACGCACTTCAAAGAAATAAATGATCGTTGTTCATCATTTAGGACACAATGTCTTACGTGATGCACAGAGAAACTAATGAGACTCCTTGCTGTTTGAACTCAAACTGACAACATGGCGTCCTCGTTATACTTAAAAGTATGATCAGCTAACACAAGCATTTTATACTCCAACCTTCCATTATGTAGCATATTTGTAGTGCCATGTTGGCTGGTAGCATTTTGCCATGACGCGATTAGGTGTATTTGCACGCGTCTAGATAGTAACTAAGATTTGCACCGAAAACTCAAACAACTATAAATAAACCGATAACATACTTGTTTCTTCAATGGATATTTTTAAATTGGCATTGAACGTAAAACGGGGAGAAAAAATAATCGCCTAACAACAGGAAGTCCCAGCAGAAAAGCAAAGAATTCTCAGAAGTGACAATAGATTCATCTGTTTTTTGGTGGAAAAACAACTTTGCTGGGAAGGTTTAAAGGAAACTGCATTGTAAGAATAAGTTACATTATTATTCCACCATTTAATGTTTTTTGCCTCGTCCAAATTAGCCATCAGTCGACTAGGTAGACATGTGCACAGCTCCATATAAACGCTCAAAAGATACTTCAAAAGTAAAACAAATTAAAAATCGACATACGTTTTCCTTCAATGAATAATTGAAGATTGCAGAAAAAACGGTTTTCAGAGAAATTTCAGGATTACCTCTCTCCGGCAAAGGTGTATTATATGAAATATCTCAGTGGCCTAATAATGAGAAGTTTAAACCCGAAATACCCACATTTCACAACCTATGTGTTTCTGGCTTGGGAGCTTTGATCAAAAGAGTATATGGACATATAGAGAAAAATGTCGGTAGCTCAGTAAGCGTAGATAACCGCTGACGTTTTCGAGGAGTTGGGCGATTTGATTGCAACCGTTTCATCAGCAACTGAGTTGGCATAATTAGTGACTTGTTGGGGAGCGTAGTTGTGCGTAGCGGTGGATTATTGGTTATGAGTTGAGTAGTGTTTCGTGTGCGTTAATATACGTGCTGCTAGCCGGAGATGACACTTAACCGGGATTAGTTGTTTGGTTGGGCGTTTCCATTAGTTGTTCTATTACCCCGTATCCTCATTCGCCGTTGCCGTCGTGACATTTAAGCTTCTCATCCCTCGCCGTCGTAGTCTGGTCGATTTTGGAGTAACCTTTGTCCTTCGGAGGTCCGGCTTGTGACCTTTATTGATTTCACTTCGAGGAGTTCCTCGTTTCGTTGTTTGTGAATCCAATATTCGGTCCTTCTTGAGTGATCCGGTAGAGATGTTGGTTTTTGCACGAAGAAGTGCGTAAATTGGATCCATAGAGTGGCATTCAGTTTGTGGGAAACGAAGATCATTTTTGGGCGAATAATCTGGTTGCGAGTCCTGACAAATTCTTGATATAAGGTCGGACTAACCATCTGTTGGCTTGTCCTCGCCGTGGCTGTTGTTGAGATGTCTTCTTCATCCAGTTTCTCGTTATAAAATTCTTTGGATAACCGTTGTTCTGGAACACTCTGAAAAGGCGATTTCCCCCTTCATTCGTAGTTCTGTGGTGCCGCAGTGTGTCTCCGCCCCCTTGAACAAGGTTTGAAGGCAGTTCTCTTTGTGTTTTACTGGATGATTGTTGTTCTACTTTAGCAGTTGATCCGTATGAATCTCCCTTGGTGGTGTACGCAGGTTTCCGGAGTCCATTACTCATCGCACAATCACTAAACTACTGCTACGCACAATTCCGCTCCTCAATAACGCACCGATGATGTCATCTCGATTAGTGATGAAACGTTTGCAAGCAAATCGCCCAGCTCAGCAAACAAACCAACCATCAGTATACGGCCAAAAGTGAACGTTTTGTATGAGTGGAAGAATATGCAGTTTGACTGAACCGTGATCGTACTTCTGTCTCCGCTGGAGGCCGCTCGGTTTTTATTCAACTCCCGGAGAGGATTTTGTGGGTTCGTGAGATGCGTAGTACGAATAATTCTCGAGGAGCATAAACCAATTCTACGGTGACTCTCGGCTTCCCAACTTCTACTGGTTTAACAAGACAAATGTTCGACTGACAATTTCTAAGCCCGCCCGTTCTGCAGTAACGGAGTGATTGAATGATTCAAATAAACACAAACTAGCTACTCTGTTATGTGACATTTCGATTCACCCTTGTGCGTCTGAGAGTGACAGCATAGATCGGGCTTATTTTGTTCCAAGCAATCATGAGGAGTGCCCACTTATCAGCAGGCAGAGGCGACTGTCGTCCTCAAGAGAACAACAT